TATATATACAAACCATAAATATCACTAAACAGATCATATTATGCAACAGTATTGGTTAATAAAAAACAGCTTTTATGAAGTTGGTGTATATTTTTGTGATACAAAATATGGCACCCACAGTAACAGTTTTATTTTTAAGTTTTTAATAATCAATAATCGGCTGCAATGATATAACTCAAAATAGGCCCAAATATTTTAGCTTTTGTCTGGAAAGATGTCTAATTTATTAACTTGTTTTTTATTTTTTTCAACAACAGGTTCCATATGTCCATTATCAAACAACAAATGCAATGCCTCTTAAAGTCAAACTATAAGTTTGTGCTAACCAACAACACTAAAATCTTACCAGGCTAAAAATTTCCACCTGAAAATAAAACCTCATTGTTCTAGAGATAGATCAGTTAATCAGCCAATATTAGTTATGTTTTAAAAATCATCTGTCGGTCACGACTGTATGTATTTATTTATCAAGCAGGAAAATGAAGATGCTACAGCTGCTGCAAAAACCAACAATTTAGTTGTTTTTTGAAGCGAGAATGTTTTTTATGTATATTATTTTTAATTGAGCAGTTCTTCTAAAGGTTGTTAAATATGTGTTTATTCAGGTTAAGCAATTATTGCTACATTGTGTTAATGAAATGTAGATGAAAATTATATAGACGATAATAAAAAACAACTTCCTTTTCTTTTTGACAAAACTATAATTTTTACTAGGGAGGATGGGACAAGTATAGAGTATGAATAACCTGTGATTTTGTATATTTTTTGGTAAAATTCCAAAGATTATATCTGACATTTCTATTTTTATTATTATGTCTACGAGTTTGAGGTTGTGGGACTATGTTTGTTTATTTATATAGCCTGGTATATTTTTAAATGCATAAATAACAAGTTGCAAATACTATTTTTTGATATGATTTTTATTGTATTCCTTGTCTAAAAATAATGATCATGAATACTCAAATTACTTTAGAATGAAAATAGCTAAATCAACTGTTTTCCTGTATAAAGTAAAAGTTATTGAATTGTATATGCTGTGTAATCCGATGATTATTCCACATCTATTGTACTGAAGTCTGGGGGGAAGCATGTAAAACAATTACAAATCATATTTTACAAAACTGCTATTTCAAACTAGTTTAAAGGAAAGAAGTACTTCAATTCAAGGAATACAACTGTGGAATAACCTCAGGATTGGTGTTAAAACTGTTGGAAAATGTTGTATATTTAAGAAAATGGTAAAGGTTAGTTTGTTGTAAAAAATAGGATACATAACGTGTGTGTTGACGTAAATTGTTGTTTGGGAAGTACCTAATAATACTGCTGCCTCTGACTCTGAGCGCCTATATCAACAGACATGAAGATGGAAGTATTAGTTGTTTTTTTACTGCCACCTGAAGTCAGCCAGCTTTATATCATGAAATAACATGAATAAATAACACGACTATTTGTTTGTTTGTTTGTTTTGCATGATTCGACTGGTAAAAATTAAAAATTATCTGGACATGAAGCACAGTTTTACGCACTAAACTTCAAATAAACTGTTTAGATGTAATCATTTTACAGCAGATGCACTATTTACTATATACAAATATCAAAATATAATCATGGTCTATAAAAAAAAGCTGCTATGAAAACTGGGACATAAACATTAGCAAAAACACCCATGATTGGTGTTTCCCGACCCACTGAGGGACCCCCACCCAGGACTTGGAAAACTGTTAGCATCTGGATCCAAATGGCTAAATCACTGCACACGATTTGAGCGACATGTGTCACTAACTCTGCACGCACGCGCGCGCACACACACACACACACACACACACACACACACACACACATAACAGCAAACATTTTCATGCATTANGTGATGGACTTGCGGCCTGTCCAGGGTGTACCCCGCCCCTCGCACTGTGACTGCTGGATATGGGCACCAGTGACCCACGCAACCCTGAAAAGGAAAAAGCGTGTACAGAAAATGGATGGATGGATGGGTTGTTGAAAGTGTTTCAAGGATTTTCTTTAAAAATTAGTGGCACTGTTCCTCATTTTCAGTCCAGTGTCTGACCATTTTCAGATCAGTGTTTGTTTGTTGAACCTCTCCTCTCTTCTAGGAATAATCAGAAACTTGTGTTGTGTCGACAAATAACAGCTCAGCACCGATGTTATATTACATCTTTTGGCATTTTGTTACAAAGAAGCATCCAACCATCCATCACCTTTAACCCGCTTCTTCCTTTTAGGGTCACTTGTGCCCACATCTAGCAGTCACATGGCGAGGGGCATGGTACACCCTGGACAGGTCGCAACTCCATCACAGGGCCATAGAGACAAACAACCATTCACTCTCTCACTCACACCCAGGGTCAATTTAGAGTCACCAATTAGCCTAACAGTCGTGTTTTTGGTGTGCGGGAGGAAACCCCCCTTACCTGAGGAAAACCCACACATGCGTGGAGAGAAACATGCAGGCTCCACCCAAAGGGGTCACCAGCAGGCTTTTAGGTAAGTTTTCAGAGAAGGTGTGGACACTTTAAGCCAGAAATACACCACTCCTCCAGGACATTGTTAATATGCCCCTCTAGCTACAATGCCTGGTCCCCAGCTGGGATTTGATCCAGCAACCGTCTTGCTGAGAGGCAACAACTACCAACTATGCCGTCATACACAAAGAAACAGCTTGTTCCTATTTCCTTAAATTAAAAAAAATGTACAAAAAATACGTAGGTGTTCAGTCAAAATTAGGCAGGCATCCTCCTTAGCTGCTTTTAAAAACTTGCTTAAAACTTTTTTTGATTTTTTTATTTCTTGGCTTTTTCTACCTGCTACGTGTTGATTTTTACTTTTTTTTCTTTTTACTATTTTGTGTTATTAAATTATTTGTACATCAGTGTGTGAATGATTGAAGTGTAAAGTGCTTTGGAGTCCAGGTTCAGACTATTTACTATTTATTTACAGTTTGTTTTATTGCATTGGATGTACAGCACTTTGTTTCACTGAGGAGTTTTACAGAGCTGTATGAATAAAACTAATCTGAATTGGGAAAAAAATGAACAAGAACCAAACACAGCTGCGAGCAGTCACATTTAATGTCAATGTTCATGGAAAACACAAAAACTCTCACCTCCCTGAATTCCTCTGACTGTGGCTGTTTTACCTGCATTATCCAGGCCTACCATCACCAGGGTCACTTTCCTGTAAACAAAAAGGTGAAAAATAAAATGAATACAACCATCCCTGCTGCTAATTTGCAGCTTAACTCTCATGACACACATTCAGGCACAGATAAGCCTGATAATAACCAGAGACTTGACTTTGACTGAGTGCGTCAGCAGCAGCCACGTGGGGAAGCAACAAAACAACATAATGATGCTGCAAAACCTCATCCAGGCAATTTTAGTGCTTCTTTAATAACACAAAGCTGAATAAAGCGACAAAATAATACCTTTTATTTAAGTTCTGCTCTGTTGTAGAAAACGTTAGTGTAGTTGTCAAATTAAATTTAAAAAATGGATTCTCCTTTAGGTGCAACAGGAGTGAGGGCTGCTGGACGTTCCTATAGTGATGAGGTGACGCAGTCGTGTACACAAGAGCCTGGCAATATTCATCACAGATACACATTTTCACTTCATAAAGATCTTAAGACTCTTGTCTTAAACAGGGCAAGCTTTGTAGCACAATTAGCAACACATAAGAGCCCTGAAATAAAATACATTTAGCTACAAATCACTTATAAACAATGTTTAAAAAGTGATTTTTAACTTTAACTGGTAAATACTTAGCTAAATTAAAAGGTTAGCATTTCTTGACAGAATGCATCCGTCTAAAGCCCAGTCACACTACAACGTTTCAGATGTTAAAGACTGAAATAAAAAGAAACCTATTAGAAGCCTCTTTTGGACATATACATGCTGTAATGTTAATGAGTTGAATGAATTTATAAACTATGAGTAATTTACTCATAACAAGATTTTCATGTCAGCAAAAATTGTCTAAAATATTAAAGTGTGCCAGTTCCTTTAAAACCATCTTTAGAAAACTCTTTAACCATAAAAACAAGGAACTTAAAGTAAAGCAGCACATCTACAGAGTAAACAGACTGCAGCCAGCGTGAGATCCACTTCAGTCCAAACGCACAAGAAAACAAAGCCACTTCCTGCCTTCTAAACTTAACTTTGAAATTTGCGCCTAAATGACATCAAACGCACGATCCATGCGACGGTCCTCTGGAGCCAGCTGGCCTTCATGAGTTCGGCTTCCACCTCCGAAAGGCCAGACCCTGTTTCTGCTGACCCATAACCCTCGGTCACTGAAGAGACCTGACTGAGAGATTAGCTGTGGATTTCTGGCTAATTCCCAAAGGATCAGAAGCCTCACTGTTGCCGTGTGAGTAAAGTCCTACTGATTGCTTTGTGTTGTTCCCACTGGATCACATTTGCAGAGTTTTGCAAAAAAAAAAAAGTTTGTTCCACTTTTAATGTTGGGGGAAATGAAAAAATGCTAGAAATTAAAAGTAACAAGGCCTGTGTACCTCCTCTGTTCTCCTATTGTTCTGCAGTACACTACAGAAAGACAACTGAATGAATTAAATAAACAGGTATTATACATATATATATATATATATATACACACACACACACACACACACACCAAAATGATACCAATCAGTTGATAATATATTTAAAACATATTTAATTGTGCTGTTATAAAATTCAGATCGAGTAGAAAAAATATTTTTTTTAACATCTGGATCATTGATAAGAGGCTGMATGTTGCACTGCAGATCTGAAATGCATTCATGTGGTTTTTAAAGTGACATTTCACCCATTTACGATACAAAGTGTTGTATTGTGAGTGAGCAAATGGCACCTTAATAACAGGTACGAGAGTGTAAACAGCAGAATGCATAAAAGTCTCTCATCATTGCAATGACAGCTTTACAGTGTTGCAATTTAAACATCAAGACATTACTAAAGCCAACGACTATGATGCAAAGTGACATTGTTTTTATGTACAGTGTAGTGTTCGGACGTATAAACTGTGAAGACAGCTGCTGTAACAGGAAATGTTCGACTTGAAAAACAGCCCATTTAAAGCACAATGACTGTCAAGGTGCAAAAATATATGGCAGAAATATGATCAGTACACAAAAACACACATGTTTTATTTACATTCTTTCTCAATAAAAGTATTTCAGCTGGACTCGTGAAGTCCACACGTTTTAATACTGATATTATGAATAAAAAATAGTAATAATAAAAAATGTTCAGCACTAAAAGTGCTTTTGTTGAGTGAAAATAGGACATAGACAGCTTTTTATGCTGAATTGCATCAGTTTTTTAAAAATCAAACGACAGCTTCTGAGCAGGACTTTGTGTTGCCGCTCGGCTCCTCCTCCGTGGTCGCCGCCGCCGTTCGGATCGGTTGTCTACACGCCGCTCGCTTCAGACAAAAAGCACAAGAGAGAGCTGTGATTGGTGGAGAGCTGACCTCAGCCATAAGGGGTCGGCCTAAAAAATGACGTCTTGAGCGTCTCCGTTTGGCCGCGGCTTATTCGCCAGCGGCGGGAGAGGTTTCTTGTAAAACTCTGCGGAAGGGAGGAGAGAGGGTTAGCAAAGTGCATCCAACAGGTGCTAAAATGTAAATAATTTTACAATCCTGCTCTGTTAATGAACCGAAGACACCAATTAGACAAGTCACAGAAGACGATGTGTAGACGTGATTGTAATTCGGAGAGAGTTGAGCAGGGGTACAAAAGAAAAACAGGTCTTTGTGTAAAAGAAACGGTCCGACACTCATGCACATGACTGGTGAGATGCAGGGAGAAGAAGAAACAAGGATGAGACACTTATTAACAGTCAGGATGTGTCTTAAAGTGGACAGAGTTCAGTGTTTCTCCTGCAGCTCCACACTGAGAATAAATGGACCACATTCACTGAGAGACACACACTTCTGCTGAGAGAATACACASATTTCCAAGGCTTGATCTAAACAGCTACATTTCTAAACACAAGATCCTAAACTGGCATGAAAGGCAGTGGGTAAAATGCKAAACCTTTGTAAAAACACTGGGTTTGATTAGCTGATCTTTAATAAAAGCTAGAAGAAGTTAGGGAGCCAGTGTGAAGCTGGATGGAAGAAACACTGAACCTGAGCAGGATTCCACCTGAAACTGGGTTAGTGAGGGGGGGTTTGAAGATGGCGCAGGACATGAAGGTACGGTTAACACAAACTGGATCTCATCAAATAGCTTTACCGGAGTGCCTCGAGTCCCCGAGCGGCTCTAGTTTGGGCAGTCTAGACACTTTGGGCGTGGCCCATCCAACTAAAGAAACAAAAGAACCAACACAATCTGATGAGGCAGAAACATGGGAAATCTTGTGATTAAAAGAAGAAGAAACAATTGATGAGGACTGAGGATCAGGCTCTGTCTTCACCCATCAAATAATGTAAAGATCCTTAGAAAAATTACAATTAAAACACTAAACACACTTTTGCTTTTGTCATCGCAGAGGCGAGGATGCTTGTGCTGAATGAGGCACACTACACAAGATAAAACATGTTGATGATGACGAGCTGATGAAGGTACTGTTCCCTCATGTCTCAGCTTGCACTGATCTGCCTCCCTACAGCAGGTTTAGGGCTTTGTGAAGCCAAAGGTTCATTCACACTGCCGGAAAATGCAACCTAAATTCAACATTTTGGCTCTATGCGACCCACATCTGTGTTTTTYTAAGCCAGTCTGAACGTTACAATTCCTTTTTTTTTTTTCAAGTCCGACCCAGTTTTCAGTATGTGGTACAAAATCAAACAAATATCTGCTGTTTTTCAAAGCCACTGCAGTCTGAACACTCACTATTTCAGTTCAGATCAATACTTCAGTTAGTTTCACTTTCAGCTTGTTGCTCCCGTTCCATAAATACAAAGCTGCACAAGAAGAATAGTTGTCCAATGGCAGGTTCAAATGTAAACACTGGATGAAACTAGCACAGCAAATAATYATTTAATCGGCTCTGACTGYACATCAGCTCCTGTAACTCAGCGTGCTGAATGTAACCTCACATATTTTCTGTGCATACGGGCCTGTGGGGGAACATGCTGGAGTCTGGAGGAGGCATTTAAAATAATGTGAACAACCACACATAAATATTGGATTTGAGCAATGAATCAGAATCAAGCATTAAAAATATAAGCATACAATATAAACATGATGCATTTAATGTAACTGCTTMAGCTGGTTGAGCCAGAAGCACTAATGTACCTCCATATCTTCAGAGAGGCAGGGATTTGAGCTGTGTGCTGATAACAGACCACATGCTCTTTCTTCTCTTTAATATAGACGTTGTGACATAAAAAGTTTTGCTCTTTTTATAACCAGTCCACTTAATGATTTGTTGCCAATTACCCAATTTATTGCTAAATGCTCCTCCAGCTGTTTCATATTTAAACCACTTGCTTTTACAGCAAATATGAGCTGAATTGAGGAGTCTCTATGAGTAAAAATAAGTAGAACTTTGTTGTAAAATTTACAGCTAATCTTTGGCAAATTTTAGTTTTTTATTGAAGTAAAATGAAAGCATATGTACGATCTAAAATGTAAATACAACCGATTACAGAAATCTACACAAAAATGACAAGCAACAAATTGCAAGAAGCTGAAAGATAAAGTTTGTTCTGTACGTTTCAGATTTGAATGTTATTTCAGTTTTTGTGAGCGCATGATAAGATGCAGCCATCATGTAGCCCAACAACAGTGGTCTGATAATCAGCTGATAGTGGAACCAACAYCTCATTTAGCGGATTAGCTTTTTTGCTAACTTCAGAAATCATTAGTGGRCCTAAATTTGGTTCTACTATTTTTAATTCCACTAAAACAAATCCATAAGTGTAAAACCTCTATTTTCATGCAATTTATTGCAAATTAAATAAAACTATCCTTTCTTACAAGCAGTGTTGTATGTATCAGCACCGTGTGTGTAGCATGTAGCATCTGTAGCAGCTAAACTTTAAATTAAGATCATTACAAAAATATATTACGTTTAATTATATTTAAATAACAATTACAAACATTGACTACATATAAATATGGTAGAGAAAGAATTATTACTATTTGCTGTTTAACTTCAAACGTTTTTTTATAAAAATACAAACTCGATCAAAATGCTTTTATTTTGAAAGGGATAAACTGGAAATGTTAGACAGGGCATTAACACTGGTTTGAATTGTCTGATGATCCCACCCACCTTCACATCAAACGAATAGAAAACTAACAACAGGTTTATGTCAGTCCTACCAGTAGTCTTAGCTGTTAGCATTAGCTTCCACTAATTTTTACCTGTTTAGCAGAGCTACAACTCTTCTTGTTTWGCAGATTAGTGAAGCTAACTTTTTGGTTAGCTGAGSCCACCACTGCCTAACAGCACAGGAATGACGATTTGAGTGGCAGCTCTTGGTGATGCGTTCACTGACCTGGAGGAGGGGCCGGTTTGGGACTCTCTGCAGGTCCGTCGTCTGTCCTCAGAGGGTCCACCCTGTGCTTCCTCTTCAGGTGCAGTTTGTTAGTTTTCTTTTTGCTTTGCCCGCCCGCTGTGTGTGAAATACAAACACCTGAGCTGGTTGATAAGATGCAAGTTTAAGAAAGGTGATCTCTCATCCTTTTAGCAGCCTTTTTTAATTATTTTCTTACAACTTTATGACTTCATATTAAATATTCAGCACTTGAAGTCTGTTCAGCATCCTCAAAAGCAGAGCTGTGCAACAGGACGTCTCCTCAAAGATCTTTGCTGCAATCCTACGAAAATATTTCTTTCAGTTAGGTAAAAGGACTCACTCGAAGCTGGGTTTTCAGGAGTTTGGCTCGTGACGTCTGGTTCTTGATCGTTGTCCTCCTCGTCCTCCTGTTCCAACCCTGCTGTCCTGCTGTCCTCCTGCTGATCTTCCTGCTTCTTCCTCTCCTTTTCTTGTCCCTCATTCTGATAAAAAAAAATACAAGATGGACCAGTGAAATACAACCCAGTGACATCATTGAGAGCTGAGAATATTAAAAAACTAAATATTAATAATCCATGGCCTTATGATTGCACACCTTAGAAATCACGTTTTGGATGGGCTGGAAGGGACTTTGTATGTTCTCATCGTTGCCTTCGTCCTCTTGGACCGGCCTGCCTTCTCGTTCAGCCTCCTCTCGCTCCAGCCGATCTCTGAGGACAGAAAAGATATCAACCTTTCTTTATAATTAGACATTTTAGATTGCTTCCTTTAATAGACGACCACTTTAGAGGAGTTTTACTCTGACTTCTCGGTTTCACCCAGGATTTATTTATCGTATCTTTGTTTTTCTCCCACATTTCATTTTAAAATTCCACCTCTGCCTCGTCCTGACCTTTCCAACATAATCTCCGCCCCTCGCCGGTGTCCTCACCTCTCCTCTCTTATCCGCCGCACCCTCTCCGCCCTCTCCTTCTTGTCCTGCTCCTCCAGAGCACGCTGCTCGGCCGTGTCCTTCTGCACGCGCTCAGCGATGGCCTCGTAGTCCTTGGCGATGTTGCTGAGGAGCCAGTTCAGGCCCTTCTTGATGGACTTGTCCAGCTTTTTTCCACAGCCTAACACAGCAGAGCAGGGCTCCTGGAGCAGGAAGGTAAATGAAGACCAGATCATTGGGTCTGTGTGTTGACAAAGTGCCATTTACCTTCGGCTCTATACTCACGATTTGACAGAGACACTTGTTCTCRTTGACGAGCTTCTCCAGCGACAGATTCTCTATGATGTCTGCTTCGGCCAGCGCTCCCTCCTGGTCCTGTTTGTTGGCCAGTCTGAGAGCAGAGAGGAGGAAAGAAATGATCCCTTTTGTATTCCTTAAAATATGTTGAATAATGCAATAATAGACACCTGCTTTATTGTACTGAAGTCTGGGGGTAAGCATGTAGGACAATTACAAAACCTGTTTTTTTATTAAAGAAAAGAGCTGTGAGAATT